TTCTGCCCCGGGGACGGGGAGGGCGCCGCCGGCAGGATCTCCCTGCGGAGGAACCGCAGCATCAGCCTGGCCAGCAGCGGGTCCATGTCCCCGCTCTGGGAGGGCAGCAGCTGCACCAGTAGTTTTGGGACCCTGCCGCGGAAAAGCAGGCGATCCAGTGTCCGAAAGCACCTTTTGAGGTTCATTCCAGGACTTCACCGGGCGGTGGAAGAGGAAGAAAGTCGGGTGTGATGTGGTACATGTCATCCCTCACGTCTGGGTCTCTGCGCGTGGGACTGCTGCGTGGCCTGGGGCACAGGGCAGCAGCTCGCCCAGAAGCACGCAGAGGGTGAAATGTGGTGGCACCGCATTTTTCCTCTCCTCACACAACCTTACAACAGGACTGATGATATTTGAAATGCTCTGGGGTTTTTAATTATTTTAATTTTTAATCAGAGCACACTGCGGACCTCTTCATTAACGTGAAAAATGACTAACTCTGAAATGTGAAGAACCTTTGCAGAACTTCCTCAGCATACTTTAGTGTTAATAACAGTTTTTAATTGAATGCAAAATTGATAGCTATTTATTTCCTGTTACCGGAGTCACAGTCTCCCAAAGGTCTTTAATAAAGCGAGTGCTTCTACTAAAACCAGTGACAGGGTCCCGTTAGAAAGAGGATGGAGCCCGGAGTGTATGACAGAGAGAGACCCCGGGCAGTAACGTTTTGAACTGAAGGGCAGAGATTTACCCGTGGTTGGTCACTGTAGGGTGACCTACGTGGGTGTGCTGGAGCGGGCCAGGAGCACACTTGCCAGCTCCCCAGGCGTGCGCATGGCCGCTGCCCACCCCATTGCCCCGAGACGCGGCCGCTGCTCGAGGACACGCACGCTCGATACCGGTGCCAGGAAAAGCGAGGGTGAGTGAACTCCACCACCCGCTTCCCAGTCTCCGAGGCAGGGATGGGTTCCCCCGGCCAGCCGTGCTGACAGCATCGATAGACAGATTTACAAAGCAAATGCCGGCTGCCATCGCTTTGGCATCTCTTCGCAGCCGTCGTATAAACCCTGCAGCAACTGGGTTTATCGGTTGTGATCCGGCCAGCTGCACTCTCTGCCAGTGGCCGGTACCCCATGTCCTGCCAAACCTGCCTTATTCCAGGGGATTTGGAGTACAAAGGACCCTCCTGAGCACGCACGCAGCCCCGGGCTCTTCTGCTGTGCCGCTGTCCGTGAAGCCGGTGTCCGAGCGCTGGCTGCCCTGGGCGGCTCGGCGTGG